CACACACACACACACACACACACACACACACACACACACACACACACACACCCAGCGTGTTCATGAGCGTGCATTTCCATATACACATAATTTTTTTGACACATCCTGTCTTCCACACACATAATAATATTATACACATACCAGCATAATACTATGCTTGGACTTACAATAAGACGAACAGTCACACGCATGTTATGATATCAATGAGTAGCTTATGTTAACAAAGATAATATTTAGGCTAGAAGATAATCAGTATTCTGATAGCTTTACAAAGCTGTCCTGAGAGTACATGCCTTTAAATTCGTAGATTATTTTATTTTACAAGGTGGGGAAGGTGGTAAGAGTTTTATGGATGATGGTAAAAATGTCACTCTGTATCTTTCTTTGTTAAGTGTGTCGGTATGTACGTGTTTATATGTATACGTGTGTATGTGTACATCTGCTTATATGCATGAAGGTGTATCGGCTTATAAGTTTGCATTACCTTGTATGTGTATGCATCTTTTGGGGCTGTTATGTATAATACTATGTCTGCATGTATGAATAATTGTATGTGCCTACGAATGAATGTTTGTGGGTGTATATTAATTTGTCTGTGTGCCAGGATCTGGTCATCAAAGATGTATTTTCTTATCCTATGGGGAGCATTACTCTTGCGAATGTTGTTTTTCAAAATGTCACAGTTGTGAACCTATTTAATTGGAGCAAATTTGTGAGGCAACGAGGTGGAATCAGGCTCTCGTCAAAATAATGAAATAGAAGAAAACAGAGATTTTCTCCCTGCTTAGCAATTTTTATGAAATTTTTGTTTTTTGTCTCAACACCTTTTATGTGCATTTACAAACACATTCCTTTGAGGATTTCACCGAAAACGCTGATTAAAGGCACAAAAATATCAATTTACAGTTTCTATGGACTCTCAAGCTTTGTAATTTACCAAGCTTTGGTAGTCTTTTTCTCGCTAGTTTTACCCCTTAAACCAGGTGACCCCCTCCCCCCACCTCCATCAATCCAAAATATCTCCCCTTCTATTGAAGATGGATGGGTAATTTTTTCATGGAAAACAAAACAAATGAACAAGCTTTAAGATGATACCAATAACTCAGTATGCCAAAAATTTTACTAGAGCCTGATTCCACCACGTTGCCTCACATTTAAACATTACACTTGTGAACCTATAGTGGTTGAACAAAAATATTGTCCCAGATATCGGATAGGTTCGCAAGTGTGATGTTGGGTGACCATTTAAGTTTTAAGTTTCGCAAGTATAATGTTGTGGTGCCGTTTGAAGTTTTTAGGTTTGCAAGTGTAATACACCCATCTTGTGATGTATACGCGTGCCATTCGGAGTGAGTTTCTGGGTATTTTCTCAAACTTGTGAAATGTATTCCTTCACGCACATTATTATATTATATTGTATGAGGCTCACGTGGGACGGCCACTGTTAAAAACAATCTGGAAACGACAAATGCTGTTTTTGGGACACCTGAACAGACGTAAAGGTCTTGAAAGTCTAGCTCTCACTGGCAAAAATGAAGGCAAACGAGGCAGGGGTAGGCCCAGAGCAACCTACTTAGAGAACCTAAACAAATGGGTAACAGCTTAGGGAATGGTCAGGGAAACGTAGCTTTTGTAAGAGCATCCAAGCAAAGGTATGAAGGGAGAACTATGATCGCCGATGTTTGCGGCAGATCTGGCACTGGATAAATGAATGAATGGTACCGTTTTATACATTCATGTGTGTTGTAGTTGTCAGGCACTCTGCCGAAGCATACAGAAGATCTGGGTTTTATTCGCTTGTTGGAAGAATTTTTATCGAGTATATCTCGATCTTTCTGCTGGGACTTTGAATCCCTTTCATCCTGTATTGACCATGAGAGGAAGAGTCAAAGCCCGCCTCCTAAATGATAAAAATTACATAAAGAGGAGGTGGGGTGGGGTCATAAAACACGTACATTAAGTAATTGTTATACCTCCACTCCCTCCCCCCTGTATATAAGTTAGTCTTCTTCAGGCAGTATGTTGTTTCAAACGTTTTATTATTTATGTGTCTTTGCTATCTGATGTCACTTTGTATGACTACGGAAGTCTGCGGTGTCTTTTCAACTGAAACTGAGCACTTGGAACCGTTGTGATGATTCATCGACATCTGTGGGTTATTAATACTCTTCGCCATCACACTCAGAAGATATGAATTCAAGTTCTCAATGGAGAAATAATTTTTATTTAGTATTATCGTTTATGTGCTGGTGTGTTATATCTTACTCATTCATAGTTAGCCCTGTTTCAGAATGAGTGTTTTAACTTTACAACTGCCATTACATTCTTGGTGATGATTCTTTTCTGCAGAGACCAAGAGATGAAGGAAAGATCGCCTCAGAAGGAAGAGTTTCAAGATTTAACGTAAGCCATTCCCAGTCGTTTTTGTAACTTATTTCTTGTTAATAATTTGAGTTTAGGCTAGCTGCAATCAGCATAACTTTAGACTTCTATTAATCCATTGGAAACCGTACAATGGACTTAAACAGCTTCAACAAACAAAAGCATAGATACTACTACTTTGCATTGTATCAACTTAAACACGCATACACACAAACACACGTGCACACTCACAGAAACACAGTCACAGAAATACATACACAGACACACACACACACACACACACATACACACGCGCGCGCGCGCGGGCGCGCACACACTCACACTCACACACACACACA